AAATGGCTTGCCTCTGGAAACTCTATGTACGAACAGTGCTCAGGCTGTTTGTTCATAGGGTCGCTATGAGTCGTCTACGACTCGACGGCATTAAACAACAACAACAACATAACAAGATGAAATGTTAGTAATAAAAAGGAATGACCTAGTTAAAATATTCAGTTCAAACATTCTTATCCAAAAGAAATTTTTATTTCAAGAAGAGAAAGATAGTGATTATTCTTTTAAAGGTACGTTGTGGGTTTGTAGTTAGTGTTACAAAGCAAAATATGTAATGAGTGGTTGAATGAAATATCAATTTGCTTTGTAAACTTTCACTCAAATCATACACACACACATACACACACACACACACACACACACAGAGTCAAAAAGCTGAAAAGGTCTCTAGAGTGCATTTGGTATAAACAAGTGAAGATTCTCTTTTCTTCTTAACTCAGAAGCATATTTAAAAAAAAAAAGAAACAAGCCATCCAAAGGCATTTACACTGGGAACCACAGACTGAGGTCCATACATCTTCTGTTCATCAAAACCAGTTTAATAAATGAATGACTGGCACTTTATTGAAATGCAGATATAAAGTTTCAATATTAATGGAAAATACAGAGACTGTCATGACTGTTAGCACTATAAACACACTCACTGCTGTCTAATTAAGCTGGTTCAGATTTCTAAGGACTTTACATCAGGTTTCTGAGATATAAATCTTAACAGGTGAATCCTTTTTCTTAGGAGCATTAACACATGCTGGACTCTGATACCAGAGCTCTAAAGCATAGATAATTATCCACCGACCTCCAAGTGGGCCCCAATAATTTACCTATCTACATGGCGATGAGGTTTAATCACAGCAGCTTCGCCTTGATCCACATGGGGGGCTCTTGAGTAAACGTTGCTATTGAAAGCATATCCATCAGCTGGAGAATACTCTGATACACTGGACTGCTGAAAGACAGAAGCAGGAATTAAAGAAACCACAAGTACTATCTGAGTCCTGAGGCAGTCAACAAACCATCTGCTTCTACTGTTACTGTGTGACCATAAATTTCATTATCAAGTGACTGATCACTGTGCTAATAAATTATAAAATGGAGGCAATACAGAAAAGACATTAGTACTAAAGACTAAACCTTCATTCTAGAAATTACCAGATACAAGCAAATATTCCATCATTAAACATTTCTCTACTTCAATAGGTGATTTTGGTCGTAGGCTCTCTCAGTGTGTACAAAATAAAATTAGTGGTTAAAGGTGGCCCTCAACCCTTGTTCTCGATGTTTAAAACCAACAACTACTCTAAAGCAAATACTGTGGAACAAAAATCATCTAAACTCTATGTATGAAAACTACACACCCCTCTGACTTTTCTCATTTCATGTACACTGAACACTGTTCTTCGTTTTTCAAAAATTGAAGCATTATTATATAGTTAAGCAGATTGACTGTTAGGAGAAACCCAAAAAAGGCATCCTGATGGGGTTATTTTGTTGTTGCTGCTACAGAAAAACACACTTCAGACATGAGCCTCTGCTCCCAAGAGGCAGAGCTGAGGTCTATGGGCCCATTTGTACACCATGGTTTTAAAACAATGAAATGACACGCTCAGAGTGGAGGGGGAAAACCAAATGTACTCTGCTTCCCTGTGTAAAATGAAACACAAAAGACACATAATAGACAATGAGGCATGAGAAGTTCTTGGATACGTCACTTGTTTATGGATTCACTGGAGGAAAATGTGAAGTTAGGGTTATTTTGGAAAATTTTTGGACACATGACTACTGATTACAAAGTTGATGGGATTATGGCTGAATTAATTCAGAAACCAAATGGGAGAGGTCCTCACTGGACCATACTCACTTTAGTTATTTTTCTGTAATATATATTAAGATACTGTGCTTACATAGATAGGAAGAAACCATTTTAATTCATCTAAAATAGAGGTTCAATTAATTCAGTTTATTTGCTGAAACCCTTAATTATTAGTATTTTTTAAAGCAATTTAAAAAAAAATGAAGAATGTAAGAAACTCTTGGTCAGCCACACCTGTTTCTTGTTGTGCACATAACAGAGTCAATCCCTGGACCCAAAGAGAGAACGAGAAGGGAGGAGAGAAATAACATATGACTGTGATGACTTCATGCTCTTATTTAAGGCTGCTCCCAGTGAGAGGAAGCAAAGAAGCAGAGCCTTGTCACCCATAGTTGTCATTCCATGTCACCTACGCCTTTCAATCTTAAAGAAAACATCACCAAATCCTGAATTACACTTATCTAGTCCTTAAGGTATTTACTCTAGTAGTAATAAAAAGTAATAAAAAAACTCTCAACTAGGGATGATTGCGTTTTTTTTTATGATTGCATTTTTTATACATTCAAGTCATCATTACTTAGTCTCTCTTCCAACAAAACCTCAAGGCATGAAATCCTCTAGAGCAACCAGCAGGAGTTATTCCACTTTGCTTTTTAACTTCTGTGAGAAAGTACTTGAACCAAAGAATAGGAAATTGTTTACAATGGGAAAATGATAACTCATTCATTACAAAGGAGAAGTCCCAGTTAATTACAGTAAAAGCAGATATATTTATATACTAGAAACCCAGTATATATAATTCTCTCTTTAAATAAATAAACTGGGGAGGGGAAACCCACAAAAGTGAATTTCTTAAGTATACTTTATAAAGAGAGCATGTTTTCTATTTAAAACATGAAAATTGTGAGCTGTGTATAGTTTAAAAATTGTCAGCTGTAACTATGGCAACAAACAAGTGTATCCCAATTTCATGTGTGATTACATTTTTCCCACTAGAAAGAAAAAGGAAAGGAAAATTCTGGTGATGAGTCTGAACCATAAAACATAGGCAGGGACCTATGTCTGCAGCCAGTGCCCAGAGCCGTGATGTCATCTTCTTAGTCACTCCTTCAGAGAGAAGGAAAGGCCTGGCATCCACACTGCCTGATATGTGTAGCCAGAATAAAGTACAACTTCATTTAAAAACTCACAGAAGTAGATTTTGTTTTCATGTCTTAAGGCTTTAAACAATCTTCTCTACTATTGTTACAGTCCAAAGGATACAGGGAAGACTCAGATTATGAGTGAGTTCTGTCCTTAAATCTTTTCTATTGGATTTGTATATTAAATTACAACAGTAGATAATGGCCCTTGGGAGCCCCTGTAGCATAGTTCACAGGGAGTTACACTGCTAACCCGAATAAGACACCTCTCTGGCAGTTTGAATCTAGCCGTGGCAATTTCTTTTCATGAACTTTACAGCTTCTGAAAATCCAACAGAGAGACAGCTATGAGTTAGCTCTAATTCCAAGTTTGTTGTTTTGAGGTTTTTGTTTTTTTAACAATATGTCAGTATTTACTATCAGTTATTCAAATTATTATCTTAATGTATTCTGTATATTTCTAAGCACACAAAACATTACAGAAATACTTGCAGATACATTAAATATTTTTAACATAACAAAATACTAAGACTGTACTGATGCTTGTTACAAAGTACCATCCATTTGTGCTTATGAACCACTGCATGGACTTTGGATTTTTAATGGGTTTTATGAAGTCTGATTCACAACTATATGTTAAAAATGAGTCTTACTTTCTTCAACAATGAATGAATGGGAAACCTTAAGTCTCTGTAAACTTTCATTAAAATTAATTAGAAAAAAATGAGTCTGACTTTCTCACCTTGTGGGGATGCCTATAATCATCCAAAGGAATAATTTTAAGAAACTTAATTTAGACAAATATTTCTGCTTAAACTTAAGGCTACCAGATTTGACTCACCACCATTTGTGAATTCAGTCCTGTAGTCTGAGAAAATGGCTCTAAAGAATTAAACAAACTTCAAGTGGGATCTTAGTCAGAATTTACTTTTATTTCTTCAAACTAGGCCTCGTTCATATATTTCCTCAGGTTCTAATGACCCTATCTGGGCTTGATTCCATTTTAATCAGTTTTCAAAGGGTGCTTTTGATAGAATAAAAAAAACCCCCACAAACAAACAAAACACAGGAAAGAAAATTCTAAGTCTTGAGAGGAAAATTCTGCTCCCTCAGTTTGCTCCACAATAAATTATACTTTAATATTCAATAACTACTTAAAAGATACAATGCATCTCACAGCCTTCTCAAAATGTCATGGTATTACAAATGATCATCTGGGCCTGAGGACTGCAGTGGAGCAGACGCTTTGATATTCTAGTTAGGCTCATAAGATAGAGGTTTTGGACAAAGTGAAAAGAAAAAGAGATAGAGTTCAGGGGAAGACTAAGACGGGGACCAGGGAATTGACAAAACCCGACAATGAGAGAGGAAATTAGAAAGTGTGAGTGACACAGCTGTTCCCTCATAAAGAAAGAGCAAATGTAAAAAGGCTTAGCTCATGAGGGAAAAGGCAGTTGGGCAGGAGTGGTAGGGGCAGAGGTGACAGGTTGTGAGGAAGTGACAGCTAAGGATGGGCTTTTATAAGGAAAGAGAGCAACTATTAAATAAGAATAGCACCGGAGGTGGGGGGAAGAAATTAATGACTCTAGAACAAACTTCAAGTCTATAAAATGAGAACACGCAGATGTTCCAGTCTATACAAAAGTTGACACTGAAATAACCTCACCTCTGGGGATAATCGTTTTGTGTCTTGTTTACGCTGATGCTCTGCTACATTTGCCACAGATTCAGCCAACTGATAAAGATCTTGCTCCATTGGTGCCCCCATGAAGTTCAGCATTGGAGGCTCCCACCCATTGCGGAAGCGTGGGACATAGGGGGCGATAAACTGTTCTTTTGGCCAATCGGCTCTGTATGAGGACATTAAGAGATACAAACAACAAAATTAAGGCAAGAAATATATCTGTGTTCACATGTTCACTCATCTGGATATTCTGAAAGGTAAATATCTTCCTGATACAGGTACACAGTAACACAAAAGGACAAATACAGCATGTCTTTCATTCACCCCCAAAAAGAAAACAGACATAAGTACAGAGAGTTGCTGAGTTACCAATGAAAGTTCTCAAAGTGTGTCTGTAACTGTTATAATTTGCATGTAAGTCAGAACAAGTGCATAAAGGCTATAAGCCTTACTTTAGTGGAACAGAAGGCCCAAAGACTTCCCAATGATTTAAAAGCTGCATATGCTGCAAGTAAAGTATGCATATGACTATAAGAAGGAAGAATTGTTGTGAATAAGCATTGGTTGTTTCAAAGTAAGGGAAAATTTGCCTAACATTAGAAGGCAAGGACAAGTTGTTCATATGTTTGTGGTGCACAACACAGGGACTAACGGTGTACTAGTGCCAAAGCACAAAAGTCTCGCTGCTGTTTAGTGGATTTGGACTTGTGATCCTCCACCGGGCTTCTAAGCCTATAAATCTTAATGGGAAGAGTCGGCCTCATCTTTGTTCTCTGGAGCAGCTAAGGGATTAAAACACTGAACTTTCAGTTAGCAGATTATTATGTATTGTACTGTACCACTGTGGCTCTGTTACACTAGTACCTCAAACTCTCATTGTGGTTGAATTGGAAGCAACTCACAGCTGACCCTCCAGCTGGTTTCAAAAGCTATAAATCACACAGGAGGAGATAGCACATTTCTCCTACAGAGCCACTGGTGGATTCAAGGCACAGAGAGGGGCCACCTACGGCTTAGCAACTTCCTATAAATTATGCCACCAGAGCTCCCTAAACTAGTACCAAGAAAACTAAGACAAAAAGCACTGGCGGCATCAACACTCACAAACTAAGAGGTGAGAGAAAGGTGATGACTTAGGGTAACTAGAGAGGGAAACTGATTCTGGAATAATCTTCACATCAATATTGCTTCAGTTCTCCACTAACTCAACTAGTCAACATTTACACAGGTATGGATTTTTGACATTTGCATGAAGAGTGTGTAGTCAGAAGTGTGATAAGGATTTAGAACCCAAACTTTAATCATCTAAAGTAATCTAATATGACCCTTTCCCCCTTTATCCCTCTCTCATCATTAATGATACCTTCTGATATCAGAAATAATTTTTAAGAGAGAGAGAGAGCTCATACAGTCTCAGACATTCTGGTTTTTTAAATGGTGATATTTTCTAAAACAGATGATTTATTTTGCAAATTTAATATATCAGCTAAATTTTTTAGTAAAGTCAGGTTAAAGCTAATCTGTAATATAATCTTATGCATTCATTATTCAATGATTCTGAGTGACACTTATTTCCACAAGCTCCTAATCACTCATGAACAACACAAATAAATAGAACAGAAAGGCTAACTTCATTTCTGCTAGAATACTAAGGAGCAATGATGCCAGTCTGAAGACTAAAGTGTTCCTGACTCAGGCCATGGTTTCTTAATCACCTGCTGTGCATCAGAGAGTTGAACAATGAAGGATGGCAGGAGAGTAATTAATGCCCTTGAGTTGTGGTGCTGGAGAAGAGTACTGAATATCCCACGGACTGCCAAAAGAATAAAAAAGTATGTCTTGGGAAAAGTGTAGCCAGAATGCTTCTTGGAGAAAAATATAGCAAAGCGTCAACTCTCATATTTTGGGCATATGCTAGAAAAGACTAATCCTTGGAAGGGAACATCATGCTTGGAAAGGTGGAGGAAAAGCAAAAGACAGGAAGACCCTGAATAAGACAGACAGACACAGTGACTACAGCAATAGTTTGAAATGTGTCAAAGATGATAAGTATGATATAGAATAGGACTAGGTTCATAAGGCTGCTATCAGTTGTATTCAACTCAATGGCACCTAAAAACAACAATAACAACATTATGTTGTTTTTCTTTTACACAGAATTTATTTTTGTTATATTTCTACTATGATAAAAGAAATAATTTCATTAAAATTAGTATGTACCTTATGATTAATTTTATTTGTATAATTCTTTAAATCTGTACATTTATTTCCAAATATTATACACCAGCCGCCCTTCAAGAGAAGGATAGGAAATCTCCTGTGCAATTAACTGCCTCTGAAAACCCTCTGGAGGGTCAGCAATGAGTTGGGTCCAACTCAACGGCACATGTCAACAACAGCAGCATTAACAACTAGAATCTGAAGTGACAGTTTTTCTCAAGAGCTCATATTATGCTTCCTTTTGATGTCTTTTTTCCAAACAGTTCTTGATTTTAGGTGACATAAAAAATACAGAAATAAAAGCATCTGAGCAACCTCAGCCATATAAAAACAATGAACCAAATCCCTGCCATCAAGTCAATTCTGACTTACGAGGACTCACCACTGGGTTTCAGGGTCTACAAACCTTCACAAGAGGAGGCTGCCCTTCTTCCTCCTGAGGATTGGCTGGTGGATGCAAACCACTGATTTTACTTCATATTCTATCACCCATTACATTATATAACCAGAGTTCCTTTTGTATGATAATAACTGATAAATTTAATAAGACTCATGAGAAAAAGTAAAAACTTCTTCCTAGGTATATGTATGAGAACCATACTATATCACATTTACTAGATTTAAGAAATGTACCAGCTTTTCCATAATGAAAAACCAATATGAATATAATTAAAGGACATTTTCATTATAAAAGCAATGCAGTGTTTTTAAGCAATATTCTCCTTGGTATATTGTTCAAAGCAGGAAATATGTTCCAATACAACTAACTACCAAAGTCAGTCCAAAAAAAGAAATGAAAATTGTCTGTAATATGTTGTATTTGGACAAATAAAAGAAAGAAATTTATAAATGGGCCTATTACTTTTAGCCAATCCTACTTAAAAGCATCGGAAGATAAACAATTTACTTAAGGACTAAGTAACTGGAAGGGAAAGGGGACATGAAGAAGGCATCATTTATAAGACTGAGAGGAGATCAAGAGACCAAATTGGTACCAGTTAAGCAATGAGAGAAATACAAATATCTGGGTAAGTGAGGAATAAACAATTATTTTATTCACATGTAATAAAACTAGAAATATTTTCATAACTTCCTTTACTGAGTATTTGCTAATGATTTCTCTTCCCTAATTGACAAGTTGTTGTTGTTAACGTTTGCCATCGAGTCAGAACCAACCCAGTTGACCCTCCAGCAGTTTTCAGAGGCAGAAATCACACAGGAGGAGACTGTCTATCTCTCTCCCATGGACCAGATGGCAAACAGAACTGTGCACCTGTGGGATTGCAGCACAGAGTCTTTCCAGTAGGACACGTATATAGTTTTTAAATTGTTCCTTTCTTTTCTCCATTTCCACTGCTACTGTTCTAGCCCAGGATAACGGGGATTACTAAAAAGCCTTACACTGACAACCCAGAACCCTTCCTGGCTCTATTCCTTTTGCCGTTCTTTGTCCAGCTTGTTGGTCTAAGTTTCATATGTGCACAGTTAAGTGTTGTGGATTCTCATTCTTCTCAATGCTATAATCCACATAGTCAAATGTCTCTGTCAACAAAGATCAAACAGACATTCTACTGTGCTTTCAGGCAGGATCCATATGACATCAGCAATTGCTACCCCTGGTACCATGGCCCCTTCTAAAGCCAGCTTGAACTTCTGGCAGCTCTCTCTCACTCTACTGTTTTAGTTGGGTTTGCTTGTCTGTGATATTAATGACATTACTTGATGTTTCTATATTCTAATTAGATCATCTTTCTTAGGAACAAAAACAAGTATGGATTTCTTCTGTCAATTGGCCAGAGTGTCCTCCAAATTTCCTAGCACAAATTGGTGAGCAGCATGTCCAAGGCTGCACCTGCAACTTGAAACATGTCAATTGATATTCCATCCATTCCTGAGGCCTTATTCCCCTCCCCCCGCAATGCTTTCAGTGCAGCTTGAACTTCTTTATTCATTACCATTGGCCCTTGATCATATGGTTGTTTTTGTTGTTATTACATGCCGTTGAGTCGAGTATGAATTGTTAAGGTTAACAATTCAACAGAATCTCATTTATGACCTATTCCTAGCATTTACTGTGTTTTGTATTGTATGCCTTCACTTTTTAAGGGTTTAGAAAGTTCTCCTCTCTCGAGTCATTGTCTTTGAATCAGAACCAACTCCTATTTGACCCCGCGTGGAGTTTCTGAGACTGTAAACTGCACAGAAGGAGGCTGTCCATCCTTCTTCCACAGTGGTCCTGATAGATTTAGAGTCACCAGGGGGTGCAGCCTTTAGATTAGAAGCACCATTCCTATAGACTATGTCATCAGAGTTCCTATTCCCTCCTACCACCACCATATATCCAGCTCTTCAAGGATGTAGACATTTTCATTCACATATATCTGATCCTTCACTCATAAAACAATTCATTGTTAGAACCACAGAGAAAGTAAAGAACCACTCTTACAGCATTACAGGCATCAAATGTTAAACTCAGGCGTGCTTACCTGGCTTTCAACCAAGTTTCACCTAATGATATCCACAAATGGCGTTCATCAGTATTGACAGTATAATTTAAGAAATCAACTGCATCCTTAGTCAACAAGGGGCTGAGGACTGAGCTGGCTAGTTCAGGACCTCCGGTAGCCTGCACCACCTGAGAAGATAAGAACAGTAGTATTTTTTTTAAAAGATGACTACTGTTTTTACGTTTTTTAAAAAATACACAGACACAAACCCATGCCAAAATCCAACTTAACTCACTGTCATCAAGTTGGAACTAACTCATAGCTGACCATCAAGTGGGTTTTCAGGGACTGTAAATCGTGTAAGAAAGGACTGTCCAGTTTTCTCCTGAAGAGCAACGGTGGATTTGAACTGCTTGCCTTTGCGCTGGCAGTACAACTCCTAACCCACCAGGACATCAAGGTCTATAGAAATGCACCTTGTGATTTTATATACATAAATTAAACTGTGATGCTATGCAATGTAATACTGGATTTACAAAACAGCTTCCTAAATGTCACTGGCTCAGCCCAATGGTTTCTAGCAATAGAAAAATGAAAAGTTAGTAATTGAACAACTTTCATATGATTGTACTTTCCAATAAAACTATGTAGAGAAATCAAATTAAGGTATTTTCATTCTCATGTCTATATGTATTCTATGTCAAAACTTACAAAAAAATGCAGTTCTGGAAATGAATACTACAGATATAAGCAAGGCTTGTGGTCACAGTTTCTAGCTGTAACTATACAGGGAAACACAATTTTAAAAGACCATGGAGAGGAACAATTGGCAGGCTGAGTCAGGGTATTTTTACCTCACAATTTAATTCTAGAAAACAGTCCTGATTTAATTTGGATAATTTAATGACTAACAGAAACAATTAAACAGGTGTTATTGTCTGATAGGCAAAATAAATGGATACTAAAAAACTGCTCAAAATTTACTTTTCAGCAGCAATATCCTGGCTAAAGAGATGGTAGTTATCTTCCTGAGCAGAACCCAGAGCACTTTCATAAATATCTCGCCTACTCAAAGATACAGCACAGAAGAAAAGATATTTTTTAATAGAACCAGACCAACAGTCAATTTCCTCCCAGACCTCTTATTGTTCTGAGCTTTATACTATTTTATGCCTCCTTCACGCCTTTCCATTTTCCTTCCAAATTACCCAGATGGCCTTTCTTTCACCACTTAAAACTCTACACAGGTACCACCTTTCCCAGAGCATTACTCATGGTCTCAGAAACAATTTATGTTAGTAACACAAAGTATTGTATTTTACGGCTTATTTTTAGTTTTTCCTCTCCAAAAAGCTTACAGCAAGGTTCAACTTTGGTTTGTAGAACATACTGTTGTGGGATTGAACGAAAAATGAAAGATAAACGATAAGGGAGGTTACATTGACTTCTCTCTGGGAAGAAAACCAATTTTGCCTAAATAAATGGCACACGTGTTTCACAAGCACTTCCAAGTTCCATAAGCACTTCCCATGAATAATTAGGAATTATTAAAAGGGAATTAGGAAATATTAAAAGGGACACAAAGGTGTGAAGAAAAATGAACTTTTTTGCTTTAACATAGGAAATTAAAACAAAAATATGTAAATAAAAGAATATAAACCATAGTTCCTTCTCAAATAAATAGGTAGGTATGTGTGAAGATATGTGTGTTGTGTGCACTTTATTTTTATGGAATTAAAATACACCTTCTATATTTGTTTGTCAATTCCTCCCTCTCACAGGAAGTAATTTTATAAATACACTATTGGTTTTTTAATATCAACATGTGAAAAAGAGTAGCACAGAAGCTTTTTAAAAATTCCTCCCAAGGGGTTTAAAACCACTAAACCTTGTCTGGTCTATAGCAGGTCCTGAATAAATGTTCCTTCCCACTCTCTTGTCCATGAAAAATACCTAGGGGCCTACAGGGGAGCCTTAGATTAGGGACCAAACATTTATGGCTAGAGATATTATTAATTTTGAGAAGGCAAAGATAAAATATGTTTTAAAATATTGTATAATGTGTTAAGTATGTTTGAAAATATGGTAGTATGTGTTTTTCCTTTCAGGAAACGCATTAAAGAGAACACGCATAAGCAGAAAAACAAACAAAAACCACATAGGGAAAACAAATAGAGAACCTCCCTATTGGCCACACCACCATTAGTTTTATTTATTTTCTTATATTTTCATTGATATAATTATTTTATATTCTACAGGCCTTGTCTAGTTATTTCAGAGGAAGGAAGATTATATTTCTGCCTTTCTATTATTTGCCTTCTCTACTTTTCCTAGATTTTTCTAATATTCAAGTAATACCTATGGGAAACTCATACCTTTCTTGGTAAATATTAAGATATATTTTTTATATGCCTTAAAGTTTTACAAATTATTTGTTTTTATGACTACTATTCTTAATACTTTTTCAAAAAAAAATCACAAAAATCATACAGCAATTGATCACACAACACCAAAATTTATCAGTTATTGTTTTCCTATAAATAAAAATTTGTTTTTAATAGAGCAACCATTTATATTGCTTTATACATCCCTGATTTATTACCTAAACTAGAATAATTTTTATACTAGTCTTTTTCCCTCTCCTTTTCTCTTTCTCCCTCTCCCACTCCCTCACCTTCTCCCTCTCCCTCTCCCTCTCATTAATCTCCCTTATAAAAAGCAGGATAATTCAACCCACTTTTGTGGAATTGGAGAGGGCCAGCATGCAGGCCAGTTTCTTTGGCAATGTCTGCTATGTGAGGCCAATGAACGTTCCATTTGCTTTCTATTGCCATGCTTTTCCCAAACCCTAGCACTTTTCTGTATGTACTTACAAATATTATTCCATCTAAACACCCTCAATTGTCCTCTGTGGCAAGATGACTACATATCATGTAAGTTTGTGGGGGAGATTTCACTATTACACTGTATCTAAATATTGGGAACATAAAACAGGAAAAAAAATGCCAATGTATTTGTTCCAGGATTATACCCCATGTAAATACAAACTATATCCACAAGCAGTTTTCTAGGGAGAAAATGGTATTACATGCTCCATACCTAAATGTATTGCTATCGAGATAGAACTGACTCAAAGATTAACCTCTGAGTTTTCAGAGGCTGTAAATCACATGGGAGGAGACTTCTCATCTTTTCTCTGGAGAACAGTTAGTGGATGTGAACAATCCACTTCTGGATTGTCAGAGAAACTCCCTATCCACTAGGCTACCAGA